ATCGCTCGGCTGAAGTGAGCTTTTCTATCATTTTCAAGTTATGCTTCTTATTTTATTTTTTATTAAATGAGTGGAAATTACAGGCTCGACCAATACCCTTTCTACGTTGAACGCGAATGGTGGAAGAAGGGTAAGCGAATGACTTTCTGGGCGACCTGGAGGCAGTTGAGAGATATCAAGTGAGTGGTTTTTAGTGCTACTCGTTTTTTTGTAGCGCTTCTGCTTTTCTTGTGTTACCCATTTTCTCCACGATTTGTTCCTGGACTTTTATGGGTCCGGTGTTGATTATTATAATTTCTCGAGCTTCACTCGAGCCTAGTAATTCGCCCAAATCAAGTTTTATCTCGAATAAGGTGTGGATACTCGATGAGGAGGGAATTTATTCTGAATTTCCTAAATGATCCCTTACAGGTATCCGGTTTCTTTATAGCTTGCATTTAGTTGCCAAAAATGTTCATTTTTCAAATCTTAATACGGCCAAAACATTTCTCTCTTTTTTCCTATGCTGCATTCCCTAAGAGGATCTCATTCATTCTCCTTCAGACGTCGTGAACATGTAGCTGAAGTTGGAGCGGACCGAATGCGTTTAAAAGCAATTAAAGCGAATACGATTCTACCACAGGTACAAAACATCTTTGCTTTTTTTCATTTCCTTTGACACGTTTGTTTTTTTTCACCAGAAAATATTGACTTGATGGTTTTGAAATCTCTTGACATACGGGAGGGTATGTACACATAAGGGTTACTTATTTTAGAAGTGCGATCTAGTAATGTTTCCCCAATATTTTTGCTACGTCCATTTTGGGTTGTGTAAAACCTAGCATCTACAGTTTTTGTTCCTGGTGAGCTTCGGGACGGGACCTAATAGGTATGGTAGGGCTAATGCCGTTTGGACTCCAGAAATTTCGGCTCCGAGCTCATTTTCAAATTGCCTAAGTCACCAAATCCACTAAAAACTTGTATATAGGGGTAATTCAACATCCTGATTACGAGTATGACACTCATTCTTGGCGCTGGCGCCAAGAGAGGACACTACGATTACCTCCTGGGCTCAGCCTTAGCAGAGCGCAGGTAACCGTAGTGTCATCCATTAGCGCCAGCGCCAAAAATGAATGTCATATTCGTGATCAGGATGTTGAATTACCCCTATATACAAGTTTTTAGCGGATTTGGTGATCTTGCCACTTTTAAAATGAGCTCGGAGCCGAAATTTCTGGAGTCCAAACGGCATTAGCCGTATGGTAGTCGTGGGTGACGTCAGATGCCATTTTCACTCGAGCGGCACAAGTAACGTGTCCATTCGTCCCTGCTGGGAGACGGAGTAGTCCAGTAGTTTTCTAGCTCAGGGATTAAGAAGCCTTTCATTTCTATCAATATTCTTACCTCCGCGTTGGCGGGGTTCAGGTGATCGTTTGATAACTAGTGGAATTCAGCCGATAATAGCTGTGGTCCAGCGGTCATCTTCGAAATCTAGGCGTGCCCAGCTTACCTGATCTCGATTCCGTCAAACACAAACTCCTCTCTCTGCCCCTGCATGTAATGGGAAACTTCAAGCATCGTCCTCTGCACAGTGGCGAACGCTGACCCTGTTTGCGCAGAGTCGAGGCGGTAGTAACCCTGTTTGTCCTGCCTGATGACCAGCTACTGGATTCTTTCGTGTACTTCGGAATATATGTCTGCTGGGTTTAGGCTATCCGAGATGATGCAGCAGCGGAACTCTCCAATATGCCCAAAAACGCCCATCCAAGACGAATTCTCAACATGTGCATGTTCACGGCGCGACAAAGAGGAAAGATCAAACCATATCGAATCAATAGGCATTTGTTCAGGTGAG